TTGAGCAGCCATGTTTCTACAGTAGTCTACATTTTTGCATTTTTTGTCAGTTTCACGGCCACCGTAGTTTCTCCAACACGTTTCACAGTCCTCTCTCATTCCAAGGTTGTCAAATACAGACGCGGTGTTCAGTTAGTTACAATCTGAAACATCACCACTACATGCCACTAAATCTTACACACTGATCTTTTAAAGCATTTATTCCTTATTTTTATCTAACTATTTGAACAGTTTATTCATTATTTTTATCAAACTATTTCAACTGTTTATCTATTATTTTTATCTATTTCAACTGTTTATCCAGTAGTTTTAGTGGTCAACTTCTCTGCTTGCATGGTTATTTTCAGGTATTCTCAATTGCATCATAGTGTTCAGATGTTAAACTGACTAGATATGTAAGTATATTTTGTTTTTAAATCAAATTGTAATTTTATATTTCTTCAAGTTGGCCTAGTTGAGCTACTTCACCATCTTTCCACGTATCCCCTGAGAACTGTACCCTGGGGTTGGCTACAGATACCCAGCTTGGTCGCCGATCTTTTCGGACCAAGATGATCAGTGTGTGGAGAAAAAAAAAATCTTCTAGACATGCTCTTCCTTCATAGCACACGCACACTAAACAATAATTCTCATTTAATAATAATAATTTGTATGTTCCAGCCTCTCTTCCTGTCTAGAAGCATCCTGACAGTAGGCCTATATTTTGTGTTTCAATAAGAAAATGAAAATGGTATTCATTTAAAAGTTATAATTAAGGCCTTGCAGTGGAAACTGTCGCAAAGTCGGCTTCCTTGCATCATCATAAACATGAATGACTGAGAAAGAAAACCCACCCAGTACATTTAGTGTTGGCCTCTCACTGTGAGAGTAATTATGTTCGAGATCAGGTATGCATGTGACATTTCGGTAAAAGCATTTAAACGTAACTCATGCACCACTCTCTGAGGCACCTTTCATGACTGAGCTTGTTTTTACAGAAATCAGAACCTCCCAAGTTTCTGAGGTCAGATTGCTTACGTTTTTTCATGATTTTCTCTCTTATAGAACAAATGATTAGGCTAATTGGTTAATTGAGAAAGCAATCAGCACATTAATAATGACAATTAATTAGGAAAATGATCATTAGTTGCTGTACTTGCACCACTGTTACAGATGTAATGATTGATGACTTGAAAAGTTGGAACCTGTCCTTCAATCAAGTGGACAAATCATATGGTCAGGGCATAAGCAGCTAAATTACAGGTTCTTTTAAGAGGATCCTAATCTGTACAGGGCAGAACTAAGAAATCCTTTTACTCAAATGGCCTTATTTTTGGTCAGAATGATGCAGGAAACTCCCACAGGAGAGAAAGGATACATACTGATCATTTATTAGAGTCAGAACATCCAGTGGCTTTTCTCTTGATCACCAGATTGATCAGTGTCAGCAGAACTAACCTTTCTTTTACAACACATGCTCACTAAACAGGAATAACCTGTCATTTAATAATAATATTTTGTACCCTTTCAAGTTGAGCATTACTCCAGATGTTGCACCCTTTTGTACAGTGTTCAGGGATGCAAACTGACCCATCAATAATCGGAATAATAATGCAACAAACTACATTAATAAACGTGACAAGCAAGGCTAACGCTGCTTGCAAAGGAGGGAGGCACTGACGTCAATTAGGACCCAACAGATACCAAACTCCAATCAACACTATATAGTCTTGTTAGTCGGCCCAGCTTTAGTGGTAAGTACATTTATCCATTGAGAAGTAAACTGCTATGTTTATATCAGTGTTTATATTCAATCCTATTTGATATTTGCAGATGATTATTGTTAACACTGTTGATTGTAGGCCTAATTCATTCAAATGTTTAGACCTGTTTATGTAGTAAGATAAATGTGTTGTTTGAGCTCTGAATGGACGCTGCAGCAGATAGAGCTGTCCTGTGCTGTGTCCTGTGCAGATGGCCCCGGTGCTCCTGAACATACCCGCAGTCACGGTGTTTGTGTTGAGCTGCGTGTGCGCCGTCCCGCTGCAGGGCCAGAAGCCGGGTCACGTGGACCCCCTTACGGCCCACCGGGCGAACCCCCAGTGCTGGGACTCCTCCTCGGCTCTGCTGCTGGAGATGCGCTCCCCCAGGATCGCTGACACCGTGCCCGCCTTCTGGGACGTGATGATGTTCCTCAGGTCGTCAGACAACAGCAAACACACGGCGCTCTTCTGGGACCTGGCCCGGCTCTTCTGGGACCTGTATCTGGACTGCGTGCTGTCCAGGAGTCACGGCCTGGGGAGGAGACACATCACCGCTGTACACTCCCTTGTTACTGATCGTAAGTGTCCAACCTCACACACACACACACACACCACACACACCACACACACACACACACACACATCACACACACATCTGTCAGACATCAGCTGTAGTGGGGGAAGTATTTCAAAAAGTAGTTACTTATACAGGACTGTAAAATAATCCTACTTTTACTTAAGAAAACAATATGAAAATAAGGATTTTAAAGTATTAAAATTGAGAGAAAAATGACTGTTACTATTATATATATTATATCACTATTATTATTCCTCATGCATTAAAAGCAGGATTTACTCAGCAGATAAAGTGTATAAAGTTGTTGAAATTAGCTTCAACATTAAAGTGAAATAGGGAAATCTGCATAATGAGCATGTTTACTTTTGATACTTTTTGTATATTTTGAAGCCAATACTTTTGGAATTTTGCTTAGCAGTGTATTTCTACAATGTGGTATTGCTACTTTTACTTACTGTAAGTACAGATCTGATTACTTCTTCCACCTCTGGGGTAGACATGGTTTTACTCCAGGTCTTTTACTTTGTCTGAGTTGTTTTGAATGGTAGTCTTGTACTGATTTAAATGTGTGACAGTGATTGTGAATGATGAATATGTGTGTTTTGAGTTTCACAGCTGTGCCTTGTGTTGCTGCTGTATTGTTGGATATGAACGGTGGAAGAGCAGAGTTACTCAGGTTTCTTTATAAGATTTGTTTTTTGTTGTGTCATAAATGTACCATGCTCAGCTTGTGTGTGTGTGTGTGTGTGTGTCCTTTACAGAGTCCTTCAGATTCAACAGCTCAGGAATAAACTCCCGGGCGTGGCTCAGTGTCAGAGTGAGACGCAGAGGACACATCAAGACCCTGAAGACTAAACCTAAATCAAACACACAACACCACAAATAATCAATATTATTTACACATTGACAGCTTTTATCAATAGTTTCTTTCCCACTGAAAAACTAATATCGACATACTTACTTATTAGTACACACAACAAGGTGTCCTGATAAAGGAAGTTACGGACAGTGTGGAGGCCTCTGACACCATTAATGTCTACCTTGATATGGTGATAATAATGTCAGCTGAGAGTGATAATACACTGCAGTTTAAAACAAATGGTTATTAAACTTTGAACTATGTTTGATGTGCTCTTACGTTTTGTTTTATGCTATCATATGTCCATTGTTTATTTGTTCATTTTAAGTATAATAAATCCATGTATGGCTGAAAGATGTATATCCTTGACTATCTAAATGCATCAGTCAGCAAATATCCAAATGCTGTTATTACTCAGAATTTAACAAACACTACTAGACTATTGTTTTACTTATATTAGAGTTAGACAGTCTGTAAATTCATAATACATTTCTCAATCATTTCCTGTTTTCTGGGTAAAATGGAGACAGTGTTAATTCTTACTAATGGTTGTGAAACATCCAGAGTCTTATTCAGAGAACAGCAACATTAAAACATGTGAAATCTGTCAACAGGCAGCATACAACTCACAATTTATCATGAGTAAAGTGTTGAACAATGACATTATTGGGAAATCCAACCAAAGATTATATAAACGGGCAAGGCTGGTTTCTTCCCGCCCAGGACTCACTCCCACTTCCTTGAGTCATATCCAAATAAGGGCATGTGCGTCACCAAGGTGGACGTCTCCAGTGTAACGTGATCCAAGAGTATATAACGCGCTGGTTCTCAGACTTTTACTTTCGATTTCTACTTCCTATCATCTGACTTGTTTTGAAGAACTGCACTGACACGCTAAGTTGGTGTGCGCGATTAAAAAAGATTCATATTGTTCAATTCAATTGTCTACAATCGCCAATACTTCGATCATGAAGTGGATATCGCATATTCTGCTGAGTCAGGCCTGCTGAAAACACCACACAGGTAACACAGCGCAGAACAAATCTAATCAAATCAAAGTTTCCTGCACGCGTTCATATGATAATGTGATTTAGGCTGTAGATTATGTTATCCTCTCATTACATTTGTTTTCCGAGAAGCTCTAACAGTTTTATTTTTCCCTTTGTAACTTCTGAAAATGGGTTTTCTCTCACACACACACACACCGACACACACACACTCGTACATACACAGTTACCAAACCTAAAGGCCAAACCAGTGCAGCACTTATAGCAGACAGATTGGCTGCATGTTGCTTGTTGTTGTTGTTTGTTGTTGTATTATATATATAAAAAAAAAAAATCACAAAAGCTCGTCCAAAATAGTATTCAGTGTTATTAACAATGTCATCTTTGGACAATTTCATCACATCAAATTGTGGAAGTAAAGGTCAATAAATGAGGAAGGAACAGCTGGCATGACGTACCAACGTGTATATATTTTTATTTGCTTTTTTATTAGGTTTTCTTTTAAAGAGTGCAGGAAAACCAACGTAATGCAAATGTGCCAACCAGACACAAAGCACATAGCCAGTAAAGGAAAGAACAAAAACCACATACCGCATACATTAAGCAGAGGTGGGGTAAACAAGTAAGTTCCAAGTCTTAAACTTGGAGTTTCAAGTCGTAAAACAAGTCATAATGCGCTCTTCACCAAATGTAATGCCACACAAATCATGAATGCTTTTTAAAATGTGTATTTATTTGTTAAAACAGTGCAACACACAACAGAATAAATCCAAGTAAAGTCTAGTTACAAGTCTTTTTTGATTTTGTCGAGTCTAAAGTTTCATAACAGAGAAACCTGAGTGAATCCATCTTGTGTCTTATTTTTAGTGCACAAAATGGATTTCCAGAAGCTGCTATTAGAGGCAGGCAAGGCCCTGTCTAAGAGCGAGGTAAAGGCTTTAGCATTTCTTTGCACTGACCTCCTGGTCCGAAACCCGACTTCAGTGGATTCGGCCAGTGACCTCTTCTCTCGTCTGGCGGATCAAGACTACCTCTCTGCTGAGAGACCGCACCTGCTGATCGAGCTTCTCCTCATCATCCAACGCAAGCGTCTGCTCCGTGAGCTCGGGTTCACTGACCAAGTATCTACAACAATCATCTCTCCTTACAGGTGGGCTGCCTACCACTTACTGGTTTAAGCAAATACTTTAGCAGGATTTAGTTCACAGAAAAACTTTTAAAAATACATTACAAAATAGTGGTGCACCAATATGATATGCAGCACTGAATTAAATTTATGAAACTGGTCAAGCATGTATGGACTCTACGGAGTCCTGGAGGTGTCACTGAGGAAAAATAATCGCTCTCTCGATTTAATAATGTGTGGACACAGATTACTTAATTCATTCTCTCACTTTGGTATTATTGTCGGCTTAAAACATCCGCTTCTCTCTCGCTGTCTTACCACCCAAACAAAGCCATAAAGGCCTACAACTAATGACTCTGCAGATTGAGCTGCAGATGTCAGGGTTTTGGTGTGTGTGGGTTGTCAGAAAATAGTGAAAAATGGGCATCACAATTTACCACAGTCCGAGTTGACATCTTCAACAATCCAAAACCCAAAGATATAAAAGACTATGAAAAGCAGCAAATATTCACATTTGGGACGTTGGATCTCAACAACAGGAACACAGTGAGATATATTGCTTTTTAACTAAAAAAATCAACCAAAAGTGGTGCGTCTTTATTAAATACCGTAAAACTTATATTAAAAGCAGGGCCCCAAGTAGACACAGGTCTTCTTTACTAGCCTGATGTGCCTGCACGGTTTGTGAAATAAATGCAGGTTTAACTAGACGCCTGGTCTGGATTATAGAAATTCTTTGGATGAATAAAACCTCTTAAAGCCCACTGGGTTGCCCAACTTGAGTGAGGTCTAAGCAGCTCAGATCGCCTTCACAAATATAAATGTTCAAGCTTTTTGTCAGTATGCTACACGTCATTATATGTACGTAATTGATATGTTATTCGATAGCCTAATTTTTACAACATTCATACTGGTTAAAATGCTGAGCAAGACTTTTGTGTCCCATAGATGCCTGTCCCAAATAGAGGCAGGATGAGCTCAGTGACTGAAGCAAATACAGTTTCACTTTTAATTATTTTTCTGTAATTTCAGGAAGCTGCTCTACAACCTGTCTGAGGAGCTGACTGATGGTGACTTGAAAGATATAAAGTTCTTGTTAAACAAACGGCTCCCACGTAAAAAACTGGAGGATAATGTTGTGAGTGCATCTTCAGAGTTTTAAACCCAGTTAGATGGCAAACAGCCAAAGTCATAAACATACAAATTATATTTTATAAATAGTACTACAACAACATAATAGATCACATATTAAAATATATATCAAAAATCCTTTATTAGGTTAAGTACCTTTGGTGTACATCTAAATTTGAATTCTGCTTCTGTCATAAAGTATGTATCATATCACCTTACAGTAAAATTAAGAGGAAATGTAAATTTGCTTAACTTTTCAGACTACACTAGAGGTCTTCCTGGAGATGGAGCACATGGACCTCATCAGGGACACTGATCTAGACTTGCTGGTGAAGCTAATTCAGCAAGTTTGTCCCGTGTTGATAGAAAAGATCAACTGGTTTAAAGCACAACAGAGTAAGTTGAAGGAATGAAGAGACAAAAGCAGACACCAAGACAGCAGGTTAACTTTTAAAGAGTTTACCTCTGAATTAACAGCACTGGTGTCACAACATTGTGTGTGTTGTATTTTGATTGAAAGATCCAGACCAGGATATCTGTGGAGCCAAATGCCATTTATTCTGATAAAGGAGATAAATAACCAAATATTCTGGTCAATTTTGATCATGTAACATGAGCTCCTCTCCCATGGTGTACAGTAGCTAAAGGGAGACATATTATGTTGCATTCAGTGCATTAAAACACAAAACATACCTGACAAAGGAGGTAAATAACAAAATCATCCGGTCAATAGCTCCTACACGTATTAAATGACACGGGAATATGTTAACATAATTCACAACAAGTTTAAACTACCAAGTAAATTTACAGAGGCTAAAACACAGAAATCTGTCCGACTACAGTGTCGTCTACCTCTCTTACAGAATATAATAGTAAAAGGGGAAAAGGTAGACAAGACTGAAGACATCATTCAGATAGAGACCCCCGAAAGTGAAAGTAGTAGAGTACACAACCCTTAGGGTCTCAGACGTTCCACATAATGACTCTGGAGGTTTAGCATGTCAGGTTATAACTATTGTGTAATTATAATACTATATATTACTAATGTGTGACTCTGTTACACATATTACTGCTGCATAACTGACTCTTGTTACAACAGAGGGAGGAATATTGAAGCAGGAAGAGCAGTTACAGGTAAGGACAGCAGCACAGGAAACAGTAGTCCAAGAAGTCACTTAAGGTGACTCTGCATTGACATCGAGTCTTAACCGTAGCCAGTATATTCCTAACCCCGACCCCGAACTTAACCTTAACCTTAACCTTAAACAAAAGTGTAATCCTAAAAATGTATTAACTTTGTGGGGATTTGTGTTCTTTTTTGTTGCATATAATTAATATTTTACTTTCATTTAATGTTAATATTTGCTGACTAATCTGTCTGTAAATATGGTGATTTACATTTTTTATAATTTTTTACTACAGGACTTCGCACCAACCCTATAGCTCAAGAAACAGGCCGACCAAGATCTATGACTTACCCTAGTGTACCAGAGCAGGTAAGTGCTTTGACCCCCTCTGAGATGCAGTGAAAGATTTATACTATGATATTATTGTCTATGTTTCTCGGTTCTTTATCAGGTCCCTCAATATCGTGACAGGACTTTCTCAAATGAAATACCAGGTAAATATAATTACATTCCTGTCTTCTATGTATTTACATGTAAAGAAAACTCCATACATAGTTTTTTTATAGGATATTTCATACACAGCCATTTAAAGATATCTTTGGATGTTTATGTTATGGTAAATCTTCATCTAAAATAATTAAATTAATTAACCAGGAATTGACTGATATGTATGTAACTAAGTACTTTTACTCAAATACTGTACTTAAGTACAATTTTGAGATATCGTAATGGTATTTTTAACCATTTTGTTGAGAGTTATAGTCCTAATTACCTTTTTCCTTTTTCTCTGAAGCACTGCAGTCGTTGGCCGAGGTGAGAGTCATTAAAACACAGTTTTATATAAAAAATAAACTGTGACTCTTCTTTTTGTCTTTAATGGTCATTTCCTCTGTGTCCCACACAGTCCAACATGAATTCTTCAAACATCTCTATGGGTAAGTCGGTTGGTTGTTTACAACTAGACCTGTTTTTAAGTGAGGTGCGGTGGATGGATATAATTCTGAATCCTCTTGTATCATTTTTGTAGATTTTCAAAGAGGTAGAGTTGAATGCGAGGCCCTGTCATTTGGGATGAGTGGTTTAAGCACTGAAACAAGCAGCTCTGCCTCCCCGAAAGCACACCAAGGTTGGTTGATGAAATGACAAATCTTTAGTATTATACATGTTAATTATTCAAATATAATTTTTGTCTCTTTTTTGCAAAATGATCATCCTTCCACTCTGCTATTGACTGTCCCATAGAGAAGTTTTCTCAAGAAAACGAGACCTCCTCTGTAAAAGTGCTGTCTCAGACTGCCAACACAAACCCTGAGGTGTGTGATTTCTTATTTCTTAGCAATACAAGTACATACACCGATCAACCACAATATTATGACCATCAGTTTGAGCTACAGTAGCTCGTCTGTTGGATCGGACCACACGGGCCAGCCTTCACTCCCCACGTGCATCAATGAGCCTCGGCCCCCCATGACCCTGTCTCCAGCTCACCGGTCACCATTTTAGAGATGCTCATGACCAGTCGTCTAAGCCATCACAGGTTTGGCCCTTGTCAAAGTCGGCTCAAATCCTCACGCTGCCCCAATTTTTCCTGCTTCACTCACACATCAACTTGAGACAAAATGTTCACTTGCTGCCGAATATATCCCACCCACTGACAGGTGCATTGATATCCAGATAATCAGTGTTATTCACTTTGTTAGTCAGTGGTCATAATGTTACGGCTGATCAATCTATGCTTAAGTAGTAAAGTAGCCCAGAATGTGTTGATATAAACTATTGTTTAAACATGGTCCTGTCTTGCCTTTAATAATCTAATCTGTGTCACTGATTTATCTCTCTAGGGTTTGGGAACATATCCAATGACTTCAGCAAAGAGAGGTATCTGCTTGATAATAAACAACTACAACTTCACTGGAGCTAAAAATCTCCAGAAGCGGGAGGGGACCAACATTGATGAAGGTACGCTTATGTTTAACTCTAACTCTTAAATCTCAAATGAAAACGGGGTTTTATGTATGTTGCTGGGTGTTAAAATGTGTTTACATGTATCTGTCTGACTTCCAGAGTGCCTGCAAAAAGTGTTTGAGTGGCTTGGCTTTGAGGTACAGATACAGAAGGACTGTCCGGGCAACAAGATGCTGTCCGTGATGCAGGATGTCGGCCGCAAAAACCACGGTCAGATGGACTGTCTGGTTTGTTGCTTTCTCAGCCACGGCCAGGAGGGTGGTGTGTACGGTGTGGACGGCGACCTCATCAACACTAGGAAGCTGATGGATGCTGTCAATGGAATAAATTGCTCCTCTTTGGCAGAAAAACCGAAGCTGTTTTTCATCCAGGCCTGCCAGGGCAACAACGAGCAGAAGGCCATCTACATCGAGTCCGATGGTCCTGCGCGCACTCATGTCCATTGTGATGCAATTGAAACTAAAGAGTCCATCCCATCTGATGCAGATTTCCTGCTGGGAATGGCCACCGTTCCTTCTTTCGTCTCTTTCAGAGATAGGAAAAATGGCACCTGGTTTATTCAGTCATTGTGCCAAAACCTTGTCCAGATGGTGCCCAGGTTAGTGAAACTAAAGATCAGGTACTGTTGGATGATATGATTCTTTACATTTAAATATCAAGTACCATATTAAACCACAATTTTTAAATTTAAATATATGCTACTTTATATTTTAACTCCATTACATTTTGGAGGGCAATATTGTACTTTACTTAATTCATTTGACAACTACTTTTCAGATTTTACATACAAAAGATGATTATTTTATAAAATATGAAGCATGTTTATAATTTAAATACCCGACAGGATTTAAAACAGTTAAAATTAGCTCCACCTTGACCTACTAAATGAAAGTAACGCTTACATATTAATACTTAAATAATAATAATTCAGTAGTATAATATACACAGACAGGGCCATTACGCATAATGAATACATTTACTTTTGATAGTACATTTTGTTGCTCATAATTCCATAATATACTTAAATGAATGTAATGGAGTATTTTATTATGTGTTATTGCTGTTTTTACTTCAACAAAAATAGCAATAACACACCTCTAATTTTAGTTACTGCTGTGTTTTAGTTACTGCTGTGTTATGTGTGTGAGAATAAGAATAAGTGGTTTTAGTTGTTTTTCATATCACTATCTCTCAGTATGTTTTGTTTTTTCCCCCCAGGGGTTGTGACCTTGTGTCTATCCTGACCAAGGTGAATGCAGATGTTAGCCAGAAGACTGATGTCACCGGAATAAAAAAGCAGATGCCTCAACCAGCCTTCACACTCACGAAGAAAGTGGTCTTTCCGAACCCCAGCCACCCTCCTCCCAGCCTGTGACATGGACCGCAATGATATGCACAAATTAGATGATCCTTGAGACACAAGCGTTTTGTCTCACATTTGCTGTTTACAATTTTAAATCTACTGTGTAACAACACCTGAGCCAGCTCCATTCGCTGATGAAGACCGCAGAGACCCTCAACGCTAACAGCTCTGGTGGTCTGCAGCTCAGACTGGTTGTGCTGGGCCGCTTCAGAGTGTGAATGTGATCAGGGTGTTCTTAAAAAAGTGAGCAATACTCTCAGTGAACTCCGCCGAATACATAAAACAAATGAAATCTTTGAAGCGGCTCAAGCATTTATACATACATATTTTTTTATACACAGCTATTGTGAAAATATTTTCTAATTTAGACGCCTGTTCTTCAACCTTTATTACATCTGTAAGTCTTTAATGCAACAGTTTTAGGTGAATGTCCATAATGCCACAAATTCTTCATCAAAAACACAAGAATTGTTAATTAATTGAGTAGCCATCAATAGAAAATGAATCTCCAGCAATAAAAACAGCCAGATGTTGGTGTTTTCAGCCTCTGAATCGTGCTGCTCTCACTGTGAGTTCAATAGAAAACATTTTGTTTATGTTGATGGGTGCCACCATTGGGTCACCCCCCGCTGTTAAAAATAAACGGGGGCACTGTGGTGGCTCACCTGGCGAAGCTGTGCCGGGGTTGAGTCCTTGCTGGGCTTGAATCTGACCTGTGGCCCTTTGCTGCGTGTCCTCCCCTCCTCCCTCCCCTCCTCTCTCCCCTCCTCTCTCCCCTCCTTTCCTGTCTATCTTGAGCTGAACTCTCAATAAATTTATATAAAAAAAAATATAAAAATGAACAAACCACTGAATGGGTATGAGTACTTTTACTTAAGTAAACTTAATAAAGCCTGCCTAGCTCTAACTATGGGGCGGACAGTGGCGCTGCACCACCAGCAGGGGGCGGTAAACACCTGAGCTCCACACACTAACCTCTGCTGACCCGGATGTTGATATGATATTGAACTCGGTAATTTCCCCGGCCAGCACTTGAATGAAGAGTTGTTAGCATTTATTTTTTTAAGGCCACTTCATATTCTTAATGATAACGTAACTAGATGCCCGAAAAAAGAAAAAAAAAAATCTCAACGTGGAGTTTGAGATTGTTCATTTACCCGCAACAGATCGATAATCAATCAATCAGCCCGCCAGCGACAGAAAACTGATCATGTCTCAAGAGGGATATCAATCACCAGCAGTGAAAACCACCGCAGACACGAGGTTCGTTCATTTCTATTACTAACATGTTAATATAAAGTTATTATACAAACAGGTAGCGTCCAGAAATGGAAGATATAAAATGTAGTTTATGATTAAAAGGCTGCAAAGTTTCTCCCAAGAACAGTTATTATCCCCAAAGGAGCTCAGTGTGAAGTTCACGGAACAGAAAGTGTAGAAGATGTTCTGATTAAAGCTGAATGAAGCAATTAAATGTTGTGTTTAATGCTCTTAATGCTGCTCACCAACAACAAGCCCCATTAAGTCACATTACTTATCATTTATACGCCTTATATATATATATCCTGTCAGTGTGTAACCCTCTATAGTTACCCTGTGTTGGCACCGGAGGAGCTACTATTAGTTTTAATAGTTTTAATAGTTTTAATTGATCAACATTGGACACAGCACCGTTACTCTCATCTTTAGCTCAGCTGGCTAACGCACCGTGTGTTTAGCTTTGATGGACAGGACTCTTTGTCCATTTGAGTCGTAACGTCACAGGTACATTTTAAAGTCCAAACGTGCAGAACAATACGTTAAATGTGTAGTTTGTGTCAAATAAAGATCCGGAGAAAGCAGAAGAGCAAAAGTGGCATAAAAACGTCACAGCTAGCAACGGTTAGCTGAGATACGTCAGCTAGCAACAGTGAACAGTGAAATATTATGGACTGATATAAAGTTAGCAGATCTGATGGTTTAAAAGGTACATATGTGGTGTTTGGTGCAGGAAAGATGACTAATAGGATATATTTTACTTTGCCAACCTGCTTTAGATTTTTTTTTTAACCCCAAAACTACTAAAGTGTCTTTAATGTCATTTTTATTGCCCCCTCCCTCCATTGCGAGGCCATAAAAACTCTGTATGTCTGTTTTTCAGTCTATATGTGAAAAATAGTCTTTCATATACTATAACTCCAACCCTTGAGCATCATAGCATGATTTGTGTCTTTAATATTGTGTTGTTTTGATGTCAGATCTGTATTGATTAGTTAAATCTAGTGCTGCTGCAGAGCTGCCCTGATCTACTGATACTGTTGAAGAAATTTAAGAAAACATGATTGTTCGGTACAGACCAAACATTTCACACACAATGTACTGCAATGTACACACATCATCATGATTTTGGTAGTTTATTTTCTTTAAAGTTGTGATGCAAAATTGATCATTCCCACAGTAATCGGGAACCATCACAATATCGGTCAAAATAACGGCCCCATTGTCCTCAAACAGAGCTCAGTTAACATCAGCTTTATTGTGTGTGCTCAGCGATGATGTGTTGGAGAGCTGGGGCAGAGGCGTTTCTGTGGTTAGTAAAGTGCGAGGCTCACATTTCATATGCAGTGTAATACAACTGAACGGTGGTTGCACATTAATAAAAGCCTGTCTGTCATATATTTGAGTTCAAATCAGATTAACTTAAACAGGATTTTGTTTTACGGACAGAAGAAAGTACCTGCTACAGTACGTTCAGTGTTTTGTTTTTGAGTTCATGTGTCAAAAGAGTGAAAGTGGAAAAACATTGAGACTGGACTTAAAAATAGAAGATCTGCTATCGAGACATCTTACAGTGTCTGTACTCTATAGTGAGTGTACAGTAACAGTCCTGCAATAAATAATACTGCCGTTGTTGAGGCTGTCAGAAAGAAATGGCCTCAACTGGCTATTTATGATTTATTTTTTTATTTTTGGGGGGCTTTTATTGCCTTTTTTAAATTAAAAAAGCTGCAGCAAGGACTCAGCTCTCTCCCCAACTCTGTTATCTTTGAGGCTGTAGCTTTTGTTCAGGTTGTACTGCGTATAGGATGTTAGCTCTTGCTCTTGCTGTACTGTAGTTTAAAAAAAGATATGTCTACTGTATTGTGACATTAGGTTGTAATATCACAGGCAATCTGTGGCTCTCATTGTCATTGAGGCTCAATATAGAGCTACTTAATGAGGCCGTCACTATCTTATCTTTATCAACAAGGATCTAAAAACACTACGGCCACAGACCATAACCTCTAACTTTTAAATTCCCTTATAAAAAGCAGAAACACTAATGTTGATGGTTCATATATTAATATGTGAATACGCTGCTGATATCTGATAAAAAAACACGAATTATTTGGCATCTAAACAAAAACACAAGGGTTGATGTATCCGTTTTATTCTGCAGTATTTTTCCTGTAAAGGCTCTGCTCTTACACAGCCCGGTTAATGTGGTCCTGGTAAACTGTGTGCTTGTTTTAATACACGCAGCCTGAATGCACATGAATCGCAGAGGTCCAGCCCCGGGAAGACGCCGATACAAATCCTGCACGAGTATGGCACCAAGAGTGGCGACCTCCCTGTGTATGTGATGGAGAAAGCGGAAGGAGAGGCTCACCAGCCCAGCTTCGTCTTCAGCGTGAAAATCGGAGACGTTAGCTGCACAGGTACGTTCCAGTCCCACCCCTGCTGTGTTGACAGCTGCCTGTCACCGGACGAACCCTCGCATTTGAGTGGAAAATCACACGTATGGTAATTCAGAAAGAGCGCTCAAACGTGCAACGTATCATTGCTGCTTTGTTGTCAGTTGTGTCTGTCGCTGCAGTATACTACACTATATATCCTCTATATGCCTTGTATTGTTTTTAACCAAGGTATCTCTAACTTCAGGGATAGAACAGTGCAGGTCCAGAGAAGAGGATGAGAAGCATTTGCAAAGCTCTCAGTGTTGAGGTGATGAGAAATGATCCAGTCACTATATCTTCAAACATCCTTTCCAGTAGCCTCCTGAGTTAATCTTTACTTTCTGGACTACAAAACACCTTGTGGGCTTCCAGAATTAACAGACATATTTATGATGAGTGATTTGTGGTTATGGTGTTTTTTTTGTTTTTTCATCTGACTGTAAAATAATCTTTGTAATGCATTATTTAATCTGTAACGTTGTGTGTGTGTGTGCGTGTGGTTGTATTTTGTTTCAGGTCAAGGTCCCAGTAAAAAGGCTGCTAAACACCTGGCTGCAGAGGCTGCCCTGAATATTCTGCAGATAGACCCTGGAACAGTGTGAGTAGAGCTGAACCATTATTATTGAGATAAAATGAACTGGCTACAATTGTTGTAAACATTTAAGTCATTTTCTTAAATACTGCTGTTGTGCTCTCATATGTGGAAATCTGTCTTCTATGATAGTAAATTGAATTTATTTGGCTTTTGTTTTTTTTGCTTAGACAAAACTAATCATTTGAAAATATCAGCGTGTGCTATAATTGTTCAATTATAATGGTATTTTCACTATTTTCTGAAGGTAATTCATTGGCGAGATAATCGCCAGATTTTCAGCTATTTACCCATCAGCCGTTTTAGCAATGCAGTGTTGCAATACACACATCAAACTGGTTCTCAGACGGCCTGTAGTGAGTGTTGATCTGTTGCAGGTGTGGTAACTGCTTTCATGTTAATTCTCAACAGGACTGTTCCTGTGAAGTCTGAGAGTAACGGTGTTGTAGCAGAAACAAACAACCACCCCAACTCAGTGGGGATACTGCAGGTGTGAGAATTACGGCGGCATTGTTTTTGTTTTGGTGTGTGTGTGTGTATGTGTGTGTGTGTGCATATTTCTTGTCTGTGGTTATATATGAGCAAGTGTCTGTCAAATGTGATTAAAAGAGATGAACCATAAGTAGGGAAAGCTTGATAAATGTAATTTATTTCCAGAGATTAAAAGTTGTGTCCACTTACTGAAGTGTAATTTAAAGTGTCATGTCCTGAATTAAAGGCACGATAAGTCTTCTCAAATAAAATACTAACACTGTTTTTCTCTGTCCTCATTATTTTCTCTTGTCTGGCCTTCAATCTCAGGAGTTAGCGTTGCAGAGAGGATGGCGTCTTCCTGAATACACGGTTTTAATGGAGGCTGGTCCGCCGCACAAGAGAGAATTCACTGTTACCTGTCGGATGGAGTCCCTGTCAGAGAAGGGTATGGAAGTTTTTTGGGACATCTGTGTAAAATCTTGTGACTGCAGTGTTGTTCACTCTGTTCATTTCTGCCTTTATGTTTCAACAGCTGTAGGAAATTCAAAAAAGGCAGCAAAAAAGGCAGCTGCAGAGAAAATGGTGGCGAAGCTTCAAAGTCTGTCAGGCTGTTCAGAAATCACATGGGTACGTCAAATATTTCTGGCCCTTGCGAAGACCACTGGAGGCAGCGGTAACACTCGACTTAATTTGAGTTTTTATGTTACATTTAATCTTTTTTTGTTTTTTTTAGACTCCTAAACCAAGTGTCCGATTTGAGAACTTAAGGAACTCATCAGCGGAGAGCATCTCTTTACTGAGAAGAAACCCGCTGAGCATTCCCAACACAGATTACATTCAGATGATGTTGGAGCTGTCCAAGGAGCAGGGCTTTGAGGTCACATACTTCGACATTGGTAAGAAAACACACACTACATTAGTTGCTAAGATACAGGCTTTCCAGTCAGCTAACAAGCCTCACTTCCCTCACTTGAAAAACTACCAGTAGACAATTTAAATTAGTATATTAATGAAGAAACAAAACAGACTTGAGGAAGTAATAAATAAGCATTAAATGCTCTAAATAATATCTACTATTTGTTTTGAAAAGGCTGCAGGTTCAGTAAGTCTGTCCTTTTAAGTATTGTCCTTTTTACCCAAGATGCACTTGAAACAGAGCAAAGAAGAAAAGCTGTTTTGTTGTAGAGTGTTTTTATGGCTCGCTGCAGATAAAACAAAATGACAAAAATTATCGCCATGACAAATAAATTGAATTTCCTATTCCCCTTTTTTTTTGGTGCCACTTTTAATGTAAAGTGGCTGCAGTAGGAAATGTTTGGATTACATAAGCAGTAACTTATTACAGCTGTGATGCAGCTGTGGGAGAGTGAACACTGAGGCTGATCAATGAGATAAAATTACAAACGGTAACGCTGGATTATGTGCTGAATCGTTTCCTGGATGTGTAGAAAATTTGAATCCAGGTTAGGAATGGTGGACTCCGCCACTAACAATGATATCTTCTATATTATATACTATATATTTAATGACAAATGTAGTGATTTATAGTTTAACGGACTGGAACATCCTCAATAACGACAGATCTTAATCCATTTCTGGTTTACAGGCTGGAGGATGGGAGGAAGCATAGTTAGCTGAATGGAAAGCACCCAAAGGAATCACTACACTATTGATTTTTCGTCGTCGTGTCATGTTGTAAATCGCGTGTCTGTGTTTTGCAGACGAGCTGACGGTGAACGGCCAGTACCAGTGCCTGGCTGAGCTGTCCACCTCCCCGGTTACCGTGTGCCACGGCACGGGCATTTCATGTAGCAACGCTCACAACGACGCAGCACACAGCGCCCTCCAGTACATCAAGATCATGGCCTCCATCAAGTAAAACCACCACTGTCAACATTTGCTTCACCTCTGTTGTCACATATATCAGTCATGATGAAGCTGTAGATTGTTCTTCCCACTAGTCTTCCTGCCCGTGGACGATATGAGGTCAAGGTATATTTTTATAATTAAGTATATCACAGAGCACATCGTGCTCCACAGTATCTCAAGGCAACTTTAGAGCAGTATTTGTGAAGGAGGCCAAGTTTCTCAATGTTAAGAATCAGATTCTAAATAGTGTCTTTAGGATGTACCATCATGTTTTACTTGAGATGATCAACATATTTAAGCAAATGTACGTGTGAATATGAAGCACTTCCTTATGAACTTTTTACATGCATAGTTTGAGCAGTCACTGCTTTATTCGTCCACATTTTTTTCTGTGTGGCTTTGGTGGAAAATGTTTGCTTATTTTTTTTAACCAGGATTCAGATGTTTTTACGTTACATTTAATTTAATTTTTTTATTCCACATGCAGGAATATATTAAGCTGTATGTTGTTCACAGTAAATAGAAGATCTTAAACTTTTAATTTACTCACTTGCCTTTCTGTGAACGAAAGTCTCCTGAATATGAATTGAAAAATATTATTTTGACTATTTATTTTTTTTGTCTTACTTCCACTTCAGTATGCAATCTGCAGTTCAACACCTGCTGTCTATATCCGGCTGACTCAAAAAAGATATAATGTGTAACTTTATATTTGCATTCTGCTGGTCTCATAGTACCATGTGATATATTTAATAAACCTGTAAGAAAAAAACCCAGAAGCCTGGTGAAGAGCAGCAACAACGTGTATGAACCATAAAATAAACACTAAATGTCGATGATTGTTGGTTTCTGTTGATGCTCGTACGATCGACAGTATTGGGAGAACAGATTGCCGCGGTGCTTCCAGGAGCCCCCGTTGCAGTGTTATTGAATGAAATATCTCTCGTGGGAGCTGACCACTTGACAGCCGTCAATTTATGAAGCTGCACATCCTTCTGTATTAGTACAAAGGCAATTACATCAGGGCCCTGCGCTCTGGTTCATTCACTCTTGATTTGTGGGGTTTAATAGCGAGACAGAGACAAGAAAGCACATGACGACGATACAAAAGGATTTATAAAATAGACTTGAAGAAAGTCTGTAATTTCAATTATTCATAAAGCTGAGGTTTTACAAGGAAGTCTCATAAATTAGGGCTGAACGATTTATAATTTAGGTTTTTCTGACTAAGATCATGACTTCAGTTTAAATCAGGTTAATTTTCTATAAATTAACTACAGGCCTGTATTTGTGGTCTACAATTATATTAGAAAGTTTGTACTAAGCATAATCACACATTTTTTAATAGAAGCAGATAAAATAATGCAGATTATTGTTGTGAACAATTTAGCCCACATTTATTATGTTGTTACATTCACATGAATCAAACATAATCATAACATTCAAACAGCTGCATAGTTGGTTAACAGTGTTGACAGCTCTGTAATCTAGCTGCTTAAGTGTTAAGCTTACAATGACAAGTTATGAATACAGCACTGATGTATCATCGTGTCAGATGCCCAGTGGGGTGCATGCTAACTGCACCACGGTCATGGCGCCGTCTTGGGCTCTTTGTAAATGTGTTTCCATGGAGGAGGTCGGTTCCACAGCGAACCTTACTATTACAACTGTGCCAGGGTCGAATCTTAGTCTATATGCTGCTGTTTCGGGACATGAGGGTATATCTCTACACTGATGTGTGGTACTGAGTGGGGAAACTTGGTGTCTTGCATATAAACAGTGTTCCCTGATGGAGGTAAAGGCCTTTCCAACTCAGTGAAATGCAGTTTAGATTGGGGAGGAGAGGCCCCGCAGGGTCTTTTGTAGCCCTGCCTGCGAGGGTCTCCAGGGTGGTCTTGCAAGAATGCAGTCTCCATACTTGTTTCTCTCCCTCAGGGAACACTGATTATATGCATAACCCCTGAATTTAAGGTGTGCATAGAGAAACTTTTCCCCGTCAGCAGATGAATTTAAAAACATCTAACCACCACAGTGAAGGTAAACATTTGATAATACATTAATCATTTGTGAATCTTAAAGCAAAAATACGAAGAAATTCCAATTAAAGCCTCTTAATGGCAAAAAAAATGATGTTTTATATGATTAGAAACTGAATATGGTTGGATTTTGGACTGTCATGCAAAGAAAACTAGACATTTGAGGACGTCACCCTGGACTCTCTGGGAAACCGTGAGTCTAACTGTGATGCATATTTTTAACTCTTTTATGGCGTTTTATAGACTGAACGACTCTCAGCCCATTTGCAATGAAACCTCGTGTGGACAACGGTGAAGGACTTTTATGGTCTTTTTACATATAAACCACACAGTGATCAGTTGAGTTTTACAGTTTTATTAGAACAAGCACTATGTAGCAGCAGTGTACAGTGTTCATGGAAAGATATGTACTTTGTTAAAATTGCACTTTAGAAGGTACCCATTGGGAAATAGATTTGAAAGAAACTGAGCTGACACAGTGCTTCGTGATACATGTCAGTCCAAAACAAAAACACATGAGAGTCCAATTGAGAAAACAAAAATACTTTTTTTTTTGTAAGGCATCTGCAACATTCATTGGCAGGCTAAGTTGTCTAGACATGCAGGTAGAACAATGGATGAAGAAAGCATGAGGAGGTTTTCATGATTTTTATTTTTTCACTACAGTCTGACTCTATGATACCAATCGCTACGCCAAGCATCGCCCCCTACCTCCTCACACAGCTTCTGTCATTCAGGCTTGTTACAAGAAATCACTGACGTAGGCGGGGGGGGGGNNGGGGGGGGGGGGGGGGAGGGGTCAGCTTTTGCAGTAGTGACCCATCTTCTAAATGTGCTGTATTTACAGTGATCACCAAAAATGTATTGGTTACATGTCGGAGTAGCAGAGCAGTGCAGAACACATTTTAACACTGCAAGCATTTTACAGTCAAATAAACCTTTTTTCTTTCCCTCTCCTAATGTCAAAGACATGTCCCTTTTTAAACCTTAAGCCAAGACATTTTGTCCACAGCTAAATCCTAAACGCTAACTATCAATATAATTTATCATCTGTAGGCAGGTGGAGACTGGATAATGTGCGGACTTGTTAATGGCATACCTTCTTGGCATGGGGATTCTTATCAGTAGTGTTTGTGAGGCATTAATAAATGCATTAAGGCACAGCAAGTGAAACTGACGCTGATGAGTTGTAGCATTTTAGTTTGTAATCTGGGGTTAAATTTAAAAGCACATTAAAAAAAGAAAGAAATGGATGCAAAGCAGTACTACCTTTTTGGTTTGTCATCTACAGTACCGATATGAACAGTGCACACAATGGATTTGCTTCACATAGTCTTCACTCTACATATTTTTATTCACTCTTTTTCTCCTTCAGTGTCCTCGCCCTGCAGTCCCGAACGAGGGGCATCAACGAGGACAATGTGTGACTACTTTGTGTGTGTTGGGGTTGATCAGACGCCCCGTGTTATATTTTCTTACTCTGTAACACAAAAGGGGGACAACTAGTTGAAACATTAAATCTAATCTGCTTTGCTTTAAACACACAAACTGCAAATAAGTAACTGGTGCTTTGCAGAAGAGCATAGCAGTAAAGTCTCTGGGGAATCAGACATTTTGGTTGCTGGACAAACTTGTTTGGCTTCAATGTCTCAGGAACAAAAAGAACAGATTCTGTTCTTCATGTTGTTGACCTTCAGTATCCTGAAACTGCAATTTCATGGGACGACCTGTAGGTGGCTCTGGTGTTTCAAAATGCACTCACTGTATGCTTAATTCTGATTCAGAAAATGTATTCCTATTGATTATTGATTAATTAATGTAGGTGATTTAGCAAGAAAAATACCAAACAGTTGCTGGTAATAGTCTACAAATCAGAAAAGTGTGTACTTTTCTTTGTTTCATATCATAAAAGGTTTTGGTTGTCATCTTTACTACTCTATCTATCTATCTATCTATCTATCTGTCTGTCTGTCTCTGTCTGTCTGCTTCGTCTGTCTGTCTCTCTGTCGCCTCTGTCCTGTCTGTCTGTCTGTCAGAACAAGGATGTTGGCCTTTGGTAAACTGTGATGGGACTATTTATTACAGAAAATGAATAATTTGTTAATTACATTGTTGATAATTTGAAAATAATTGCACATTGGCTGGGTGTAGATGAGTATTTAGCCTCGTACTGGAAATGTGTCTGCTTTTCTCATGTTTCACTCTCAAGTCTTATTTATAAAACCTAAAATCAAGTTTCTCAGAAGGCTTTACAATCTTTACAACTGTCTTCACCATCTTGTCTTCGACCTTTGATTCAGATAAGTGTCTGGAGTTTGAGCGTGCCCATTACGTCACATTTATCTGCACCACATTCAGAGAGTAAGACTGAATGTGTGCCCACTATATATGGAGGGAGTTATGTGTGTATTTATGTAACCATTGATTCAGAGGAGTTGGTTTCATGTAACTATGTTTAAAATTAGACAGTGGGGCAAGGGGAGGGCTGGTCCCTCTATTTACACAACGGACACCACGACAGATCTCTGTTGACGGTTTAAAAAAAGAAAAACATCTGTAAAGTTTGAAGGTGTGCGCCTGCATCACGTGTTCAAAACACCAGAGTAGGATGTTCATCTGAATCCTGCCTCTCCTTTCACCACACCACAAGCTTTGAGAGCTGCTGTTTGAAAAATATTCGTTTAAAAACTCCATCTATGGACACTGTACTTCCTCTGCTGCGGTCGAGATTAATTTTAAATGAGCTGTTTCCCGAGAGAGAGTACTGCTATCACACAGATTCAACAGTATTAAAAGGCAAAAAATAAATAAAATCTGCCAATTCACATAATGCTATTTCACTAAATTCAGAGTCCAAGATATTTTATAAAAATACCTCTTTTTTTTCTACAATAATTGATGATATAGTAAATACGGCTTTATGCCAGTGAAAGCTGCTCTCTAAACATGCACGGTATTGTAGGTAATCAAAAGGTCTACTTCATAGACTAGTCTAACCCAAACGGCTGTCAGAAATCAAATGGCCTCAACAAAAAAAGCGCTAAATCGTTTGTATGGGTGTCTTTTTAAGGCAAGGACATACTCAGAAGTCAAAGGAGCTGAGGAAAGATCTACATAGGAGTGGTACGATTGTTGCCCTGACAACCCAGCTTCGACAAGCACAATGAAGGTGATCCTACAGGATGTTTCCATGGATGGATGACCGTGTGGCAGCGCCACAGAACCTCGACAGGGTTGCTGGGCATCAGGCCATTCCTCAGTCTGCAGTCCATGCACACAGATGTTTCATCATCAACGTGTTTCTCTTTAACACCTCATTGTGCATAGGTAACAGCCTTCTTATCTGCGATGACCACATGATGGACTTGTCGATCCGTGTGCTACCACAGGTTCACTGTATGTTCCATATTGATGAAGCCGGGATTTTTGCGGAGCTCCCAGTACGTGTTGTTTGAGACCCACCTCTCCCTGTGATTGCCATCAACCACTTTCCTGGAAGAGAAGATAGAGAAGTGACAGTTGTGATCAGAGGTGGGCAGTACAGATACTTTGTTACTCTATTTAAATCGTTTTTTCAGGTAACTTTACTTATTTATTTATTTTTTTTACTTTTAGCCGCTTTATTTTTACACAAATATCTGTACTTTCTACTGCTTACAAACAGGCTTGTTATTTTAGTTTTAATGCATTTGAGGGGAATTATTGATTATTATTATTCTTTTTCTATCCTTGCATGCCTTCCAAACATCAAGGCTGGTGCATATCACACACGGCAGATGTAAAGACCTAACAAATCGAAACAGACCAGAGGGAGACTCTACCCTGTTTGAAGTTTCTGTGAGCTTTAGAAAGAATACTTCTTACTTTTATACTTTGAGTACACGTCAGAGCCTGCACTTGAGTAAAGTTGAGTCAGTTCTTTTTGTTACACAAGTATCGGTTCTTCTCCTTCTACTACAAAAGCATGAGTAGGTGGGTTTTTATCAAGGCTGGTAAACATGCCTGGAGTCAGATTTATAAATGATGCATGTGCAAAAATAAACTATTTTCTACATATAAACTACTATTTATAACAAACTAACTGAGTTTTTTTAGAGCAATCAGAGGGTGATATGATGAAGTGGGGATTAGTAATAAAACATAGTTCAGGTTTCACTGATTTTGTGATTTCTCAGCAGCCTGAACACCAATATGTAAAACCATATTACTAAACTTAATTCTGATTAATGATCTCATTTGACGTCACTTTTTTTAACATTTACAATGGAGGGTAAGTTTATTTTCATGGTTATGATTTTTTCATTTTATCCTTTATTGTGATTGTTTTGACTGCTGCAACATTTAAACTGTGTCGTTACAATAAATATGAGGTAAACACCCGCTAACATGTGTGCCAATATGAACTTAGGTAACCATGTGATATTATTATTGTGTTATTGTGAACTTATGTCCAAAGAACAGAAAATTCAGTTTTATAACAGACTGTTGGAAGCTGCTGGTATGGAAACGAATGAATCAGGACATGGTCTACATCCATCTATGGCTGGCAGTGGGAGTAGAAAGCAGGCTCACATGTGCGCCCAGTTTCCCTCTATAAACCAGAACCATGTGTAACGCACAGCTTCTGGATGAAAAGAATGCGTATACATATTTCTGTCTGAGTTTTCTGGTTACTGGTGTCTGTGCTTACTTGAAGAAGCGTGGCTCCTGTTTGATGTCGTTCTCCTCTTTCCACTTCCTCCTGGTTCTCTGCAGGTCCTCAATACGCTGCTTCTCTGAGGATGCCATCTCCAAGTTCCCCTCCTCCAGATGCCTGTGTGACCCAAACGTCACTTTACAGTAAATACATACAGTTTGTTTGGACAGCAATGTGCGTTATAAAACTCAAATATATCCCCAGCTGCATTCATCACACAACTATAACATAACCAGCACATTAACTAATGTTGCGATGATGTTTGTGGGAAATCAGTGGCATGTTTTTGCTTTTGGTGGCAGCTGATGAGCTGATGCTGTACCTTTGATCTGGCCTGAATCTTGCATCTGTTCGGGGCAGAACATCTTTCAACTCGGGGCAGAGCTCATTTAGTTCAATGGCGAACCTGGTGAAGCCATAGTACAGCTCATAGTCTGTGGGCATGGAGCCTGACAAGGAAAGGAAACAACACAAACAAAAACCTTAAAATCTTAAAATCAGTTTATTATGTTGGCCTACCCCATCCAAATATATTGTCTGTTTCTGGGAATTTTTACACCGAAAACCATCCCCTAAGTCCCTTGAAAACTTCTACTGGAATTTTAATGATGAGTAACAGCAGTCTTAAGTCCAGCAGTGAGTATGGATGGAGAAACCAGTGCCTACCTGGCCTCCAGATGCATTTGGCAGAAGGTGGGACACCACAGTAAAGGCCCTCGTGCCATTTTCCAAAGAGCCTGTGGATCACTTTCCCCTCCTGATCCATCACAAATCCTTGAACCTCATTCACATTAGAACTCCAGTAGTTTCCCTGAAACACAAACACCACACTGTTAGCTTCCCTTTTACCACGTGCAGCTATAGTGAAGAGGCTGCTCTCACTGATTACTGAACTTGTTTTACCTTGACGAAGGTAAGTTTGCAGAGGCAGGCGCTGCTCTTTGTGTTTCTGATGGTGATCTCCCCGTAGTGTTCGATCCACCGCCGTCCACTGAGGATGTTGTGTACACAGGTGGTGACTTTGTTCCATTCATAGTGATCTCCAAACCTAGAAATACAGAAAAACAGCGTGCTCATTGTCTTGATCTGATGCTGGAAGTCCAGATGATAAAAAAAGTGTTAAAAATAAAACAATATTCTTTTTGTAAACTATGATGACGTCTTCTGTTTATTATAAGTTCATTGGAAAAAGTCTTGATCTAGTTTGATCCAGCAGCTTATTCAACAGCCCCAGATTTTCACCATTCCTGTCTAAATGATTTTGTGTGGTAAAAATAGCTTTGTAGGTTACTGAGAATCTAATAAGGGATGAATAGTAGAGATGAGAAAGATTCCCATGTTCGTGAGCGTTCACCAGACAACTCGAGATGGTTGTATGTGTGTGTGAGGGTTGAAAATACTGTGCAGTATAACACTACATGCATGGTACATCCCTGTTTGGGATATACACATTGCAGCTTATTAGTCAGAACTAATAAGTCTGATATGACATGAATGCAGCATTGGTACCAGATGATGATTGTAGTGATTACCTGGGAATCATGAGATTCACAGTCCCAATTGGTAAAATCTCCATCGATTTTCCCCAGAACTTGTTTTTCCATCTCACATCTGAAAAGCAAATCAGTAAAAAAGCACCAGAAATGAAAGAAATTCAAGAAAAAAAAAAGCTTTTTTTCAAACAGTAAAATTTCAGCTGGAGATTAAAGAGGCTAAACGAGACTGTCAGGCTCATCTGCTAAGCCAGAGTTCCCACGAGGAGAACTCCTCACTAATTAGGTATGTAGCCTACCTTGCCAGAAGGTGAAGTTCTTAGACTCACAGTGGCAGGCGGAGATGGGAGGGTGGTGGCTCACCTTTGAGAGAAGATCAAATACACAGTCTGACAGCTGTTGTTGTTGAGATTATACATCATCATATACGTATATCTGTCAGTGTAGGAGGACACATGATGGATACAATGTGGCTTTATTGTGGAACTTAGCTTATTTATTTATTAAATGATCAACATCAGATAAATCTATTTTGATAATTTAATTAATTTCAGGTTCATGCTCCTGAAATTGTTTTTCCTGTCTTATATGATAGTAAACAGAATATTTGTCTGACCAACAGAAAAAACAAGCAAAGACATTTTTCACTGTCTTCTGACATTTTATCCACCAATTAATTATTAGTTAAGAAAGTATTCAGCAGACTGAACAATGTCTGCACCCTTGAACAGTGAAATGGGAGGAAAAGATGTACAAATGCAGTTAGTGTCTGTGTCCTGATTTGTGTGGAGCATAATGCACTGGTTTGTCTTTGAACAGCCCCTCAAAGACAACCAAATACAGTACTGCAGTTATTCCTTCATGAACAAGACAAATACTCGTGTATAAAAATAAACTGCTGTTTACAAAGTCAACAAAAAATTTGAAATTTAAACATCTACAACTGAGCTGCTGAGTGTGATATGATGGAAAGCTCCAGAACAGCTACTAAATGGGCGACGAGGGAAGATATGATTGGCTGCAGTGTCAAGAATAAATGTTTAAATGCCTTTTTTATTTACTTATTTATTTATCTGTTTATGGTATTATTATCAGTTTTATCCCCTTTTTCTATGTATACACGTGGAGGATGAAAATGTTGGATGAGTAGTAAAATGCCTATAAAGGGTAAGGGGGGTGTAGTTTTATGGTAGGAGATGACCGGTCAGCAGATGGTCACAGCCATACGGTCAGCTCACAGGACTATTTCTGTGAGGGACCTCAAACCCATGTGGATTTTACAGTAATAATATAAATAGTACAACAGGGGTGCTCACTGTGAAAATGATGTACTGAGGGGTATATAAGGGGAAGCGTTCTAGAAGTCGAGAGAGAATACTCATGAAGTGGTTTCTCTCCATGCTGCATGTAATAAAGTGTCTTGATTATCACACCGGCTCGAAGTTCTTCAGAGAACTAGCACTCTCAATCTTGGGAAGAATTTCCACGACAATACATTTTAATCCTTTCCTTTTTTTTAACTGTTTATTTGGGATATTTATCTTAATCTGTTACTTACGTTTAGGTATTTGTATATCAAGCCCAGTTTAATTTGGTATATCCGTTTCTTATCCTCAGTTTTCATCTTTTTCTAATTCTGCCTCCAGTGTTTCCTCACTGCAACTTGATGAGATAGCGTCTCCTCAGTTTGTTTATATTTTCTGTTTTACTGTTCACAAAACAAGTATTACTTTACTCCCTCTCTCTCTGTGTACAAATAAGCTGCAGAAGAGCTTCTTATTATTAACTCAGATAGAAGAGAAGAAGAAGAAGTAGAAGAAGAAAATGGCTATATATCCAGATAACATAAGATAATGCTTCTGTTTAAAATGCACCTAAAGGTCCAGTGTGTAACATTTAGGAGGATCTGTTGGAAGAAATGAAATATAATATTCATAGATATGTTTTGATAAGTGTATAATCCCCTGAATAAAGACATTGTTATGTTTTTGTTACCTTACAATGAGCCTTTTATATCTATCGACGATGTGGGTTGTCTTCCGTGGAGTCGCGCATGTTTTTACAATAGCCCAGAGGGGACAAACCAAACACTGGCTCTAGATAGGGGCGTTAGCGTTTTTCTCATGTTCTGCAGCCACCATAAATTCTCCTTTGCGCTTGTAAAGGGCGGATGAATCTGCGACTACACCGCTAGATGCCACTGAGTCTCACACGCTGGACCTTTAATATCATAAAACATTTCTGTGCACAGACGTACCTGCTCCGAGAAAAAACAGAAGCCCTTGTCTTCCCGAATACATTCATAAGTCTCTCCGAGTAGCGGGTTGAATGGCTTACTTCCTGCTCTGTAGTAAGTGGATGAGTAGCCTGAGACGGCAAAAGCAGCGACGAGAACCTGTCAGAGAGTCAAAATAACACAGCAAACATAAGCAGAAGGGGATTAACTGGTTCACATTAGCAGGCTTTCTCATGAATAAGCAGAACATTAGCATTCACTGGGCGCTATCAAAAGGACAGAAGACAGATAAAAATAGTAGGATCCAAGGTCAGCAGCTGCATTGGAGCGTACTACCGCCTCGCAGACATGACTGAGTGAGGCAATTTATGTTGTTTTGTGACTGGCAATGTCACCTCTTATACAAACAAACACAGGTATGATAGACACAGAAATACAGCAGGTATTTGAAATGTGTGTCTGAAAGTCAACTTGAGGATCGTCAGTCACAGTTTCACTCCAGAATCGTCTCCTGCACCAGCAGTCGTCATATTCTTTAGATGTAACCTGATGAACATTTGATTTGACAGGGTGCTTTACCATGCGTTCAAAGGGATCCTCGGTCTCAGCAGCCTTGTCCAGCAGCTCGCTGTACTCCAGCTCTTCACACATACGCTGCAGGGTGTTGAGGGGCTCATTGAGCTCCACAGGCATGGACACTTTGGACAAGTCCTTGCCAATGTTGTTTCTCAAGATGTTCCAGAGGTTAATGTTGCTGGTGTCAGGACACGGCGCCGACAGGCAGGTGCGCCGCCCATTACGGAAGGCACTGCCAGCAAAGTCTCCGTTTGCCACTGGGAAGAGAAATACCAACTCATTAGTATAATATTATGGTACAACATTATCTGTAGCACTCACTGTTCTTAGTAATATAATAATCTTTGTTTATAGAGCAGTTTTAATAAACCAGGATAAAGGGGCTTCACATATTGCAACATATTAAAATCAACAAACGCTTATGAAACAACAAGGAACCTGCAACAATGAGGCGATTGATTGCTAAGTTAATTGACAAAATATTAATTTGCAACTATTTTATTTATAGATTAATCTGCACTTTTCAGAGATGGTCTGATTCCAACTTCTAAACTGTGAGGATTTTATTTGTCTCATGTGACAGTAAACTGAAGATCTCTAACTGTTGACTGGATTAAAGAAGACATGAAAAACGTCACCTTTAACTTGATGGACATTTTTCAGTTTTCTGACATTTTATAGACCAATTAATCATTAACCATTAATCAGCTAATCAAGAAAATAATCATCAGCAGATTTAAAAAAAAACAGGCATTAACTGGACCAGAATGACATAAGTAACCAATACTTTAATAATTTAGATTAAAGAAATTCAAGTAAAATCAGGATAGGTTCTCCAATAAAACTGTTATAAGAAGAGATTTAAAAGTTAATTTTGAAATGGTCAGCCTCGTTCCAGAGCCTCGGGACAATCACTGCAAACACTCTGTACCTTCTGGTTATCAGCCTAGTGCAACTCTCTGGAATAGATAAAATATAAAACATCGTACAGAAAACATCAGGAATATAGCGAGGAACCGGGAGCTAAAAAGAGCATTAAAAGCCATCAATAAAACAGCCTCAATGTGCGATGTGGTCATTCGTCTTAGTTCGGGTAAGGAGCTTGACCTGGATAATTTTATTGCAAGACTGGCACTTCTTGATTGGATTTGATGTTTTTTTATTAGTGTATTAGTAATGTATGCTACTGTTGGTTTGGTCAACTAACTGGGACACGTCACTCTATAGCTGTAGGGTAAGACTTTACAACATTAAATACGCTGAAATGACATCTCTCTCTTTCTACATACTGTCATTGCTTTTTATGACATCCTTATATATTTCAGTCACATTGAAACAGTATTACAAGTCTTAGTAGTTTTCCAGCCTTTCAAACTACATGAACATCAATGTTTTTATCATCATGATACTAAATATTGCTGTGTGGTACGTGACAAAGATGGAGGAGGGAGATCCAATCCCTCCTCACATAGATAGCTTTCATAAAGTCTAAGAGAAGCCCCTTGGCACAGAGCAACCCTGCAAAGTCAAGTGCCTCAGCCACACTTATAAATGAGCTTGCAAGAACTGTACCAATGTGTGTGTGTATGTGTGTGTGGATGTTGTAGAGGAAGCACGGTTGATCCACTTAGTGGGATCCCCTCTTTTATTAAATCTTTCCTCTTTTCTAACAAGGAACTGTGGATGCTTGGCGTAGGCTCATGATGGTGCAGGACTGGACCTACTTTGTCTGGAGACGTTATCAGTCACACTGGCGTTGTCCTCAGAAATGTTATCACTCACATCGCTGACATATGACTCATCGTCTGAGCCCTGCGAGGGGAACAGGTACAAAGTGGAGTGAGTCAGTGCAGTACAGTACAACGCAAACTATGATCAGAACAGCAGACGGCCTTTGTCTCACACACACACACACAGTTGCTGCAGTTTGCCAGTGGCTAACAAACTGCAGCAGTCGTCGGCTATCTGTCCCACTGCAGTAATCATAAGATGAGACACTGCAGCATTTTCATACTTTATATATAGCAAACACAATGAGGCCATTGACGGCGCCAAAGAGGAGCATACTGTAGCAAACTGCTGTAATAGCCTCTATAACAGTCACCTGCTGCTGGTGAAGATTTTGCCAACAGTGTAACACAGGTCTGAATGGGCCTGCCAATGGAGCTAGTGGATGGAGGGGTTGATGCATTTCCTTGGTGAGTAATCCTTCAACATGGTTCAATGCATGCCTGGGGAACTACAATGCTCTATGGCTCTTCAGAGACCACATATATTTGGAGCAGGGTGTTCACAGGAGTTAAAAGGGGAGAAGGCACGGCGCAAACTGCCTTTTTAACAAAGCGGGAAGCTACAAATCAAGACAAAGAAGAGTGTTATGATTCTGAGACACAACTGAGGGATTAAGCCTCGGGGCAGATTGGAAAGGAGCCCTCCCGTGTGCCAGACTTTGTTTGAGTTTCCGTTATATGCTATCTCTGTCTTTCATGCTGCCCTCATTAATTGCTGACTAACTCCAGCTCCATCCACATAGCATATCACAGTGACGTTTTATCTGGCTTCCCAGCAGCAGGGCTAGTTTGACCCCCTCCTTGATCCACTTCCTCTACAACTCCTGCTCCTCATGGTCCAAACCGCCGTCCTTTCTTAAAGCTGTTTCTCAGCTGCCCTCTTTTATACCTCATTCTCCGACGAGCTGGCTGACAGAAGCACTTCCTGGGCATCAAAGAACTCAGAGACAGACTCCGACATGGAGAGTCGGCTCTCATTAGAGGCCTGCTGAGTCAGAGGGATCCCCATCTGTTCCCCAGCCTGCAGGCAAACACACGAGATGATGCTATGATGACAGGTTGAAGAACCAAAACAGACCTGAACAAACACAAACACGATCAGAAGACAAAGCAAAGTTCATTTTGCAGCATGTGTATCCTTGCCAGAGGGCAAGCTCCCATCCGTTTCTAATTAGTCATTTTTTTCCATTAACCTTGATGTCAGGTTCTGCATAGAATAATCATCATTTAAGCTTACCTGCCAGGACAGACTAGAAAGACCATCAATACATAAGGACAGGGATCAATAATGCAATTGACAAACGCAGGAGGCAAACACTACAACTACCGGGCCAGCCTTGAAAGCCTTGGTGTTTTATCAATGTAAGAGTCAGAAATTAGCTCCGTCAGTGACAGACTGACCACAGTGACCTACCTCATCAGGCGTGGAGATGACGTTCACACTGACAACTTGTTCAGTCAGGACAGATTCAGAGTGGATGCGGTTGAGTCGGGTTCGAAGTTCTGCGTTTTGGGACAGGGCCTAAATAATGAAAAATTTTGTATTTTCCACATTAAGTTTGATGTTCATATCTAAACAATAGTAGGTTCAACTGTTGACTACCTCATTTAAAGGATAGGTTCGTACTACCTTTGAATATACAAAAAAACTCTTGAAGAGTTGTCTGTCCGTCTGGTTTTAACCAGTGGTTGGACGAGTTGGCTTCTTGACTACACCTGGAGGAACTTCACTACGACTCACTCAGTAAGGACTGTGGAAGTACATTAATTTAGCTTATCTATTTTTTATGCAAGGATTGTACGTTAATAATTTGTAATATGTAGCATGTTAATAATAATAATAATAATTTGCTGTTTTTTGTTGGTCAGGGGTGGATGGGAGTGTTTGATGCACTAAATATAGGTAGTTTGAAAGACTTTAAATAAAACTGTAAATAAAAAGAGTTTTGGTTTGGATCTTTTTAAAAATGAATACGTTCATATTATTAGCTGCTGTCATTTCTCCTCTCCAAACCAGCTGCCAAGAGATATTTTCCCAAAGCAACTACACTGTAAAAGAGGGGGGTTAAAAGTCCTCATTCTGTGCAAGAATGCACAGAGGTTAGCTGCAGCTAATATGAGAAGTCTGGGTTAGCCAAATGAGTAAATAACCATATGTATTAATTTTAGTATGAATTTCCCTCTTTGTGATTCCATGGAGGGCTGGAGATTTTGTCTGCCATCTTTTCTCTCTTCATTGACGGCCACTTGGACAGGAGGAATGATTGCAACAACCAATAACCTTCTCAACATGGGCATGTGAATATTGCATAAAGATAAAAAAATCTACTGATTGTTTGGCCAGTTGGGGAATAGCAGAAAGAAGCTGTGATATGACGAACTGGTTAGCAAACCAGTTGCCTATTTACATATCCAGCTGTTATGTTATTTATTTGGTCAGTCTACTGTAATCTCATTTTTGGTCTCCACACTCCTGAAGGAAATATCTGGCTCTTAAGTTGCTAAAAGCTTCACTCTGTTCATCAGGAATCTGTGGCTTCATCTGGAAACAGCTGCCGACAAAAACCACCAAAACAATTAGCTGAACAACGCTAAAACGCCCAATAAAGCTGAGGGGAACAGCAGAGTTCGGCAATAATTATCTGTGGGTTCATCACTATGAACAACCCATTATACATGTCTTCCATTTTTTATATAAAAACATTGATTATATCCACTTTAAGTAAATGTGTACATGGTTATAAAATATCAAAAGGAAAGGAAAACACTCCTTGCAGACGTTAAAATAGTAGAAATCAGCAGCTGTAGCTATAACAACCATGACTCCTGACTTTCAACTTTCCACAGCGCTTTGCCATAAAAACCTGACCTAAGGCCTGCGACAACATTGTCACACGAGCATCCAATTAGGAACAAAGCAGAGATAAAGCAGCAGAAACATTTCACCAAAATGATGTCAACTGTTAGCAGAGGAACAGTCCAATTAAATCACTGGAGTAGAGCGACAGCCCTAAGGAGCAGAGTTAATGAACTGCACAAGGCATTTCTCTCTCTCTCACCAATTAATATGGGAAAAGATGATTGAACTTTCACTACTCACTTGCCTATGCTCTCATCTCCACACATCATCTTTTTTAATAGTGATTACCGTGACTGCTTGGAATAAGCCGCAGCTTGTGTGTTTCATCTGACAGCCCGTCATCATGAGAATATTTTCTAACATGACAACTACAAAATGGGTTCGAGTTTAAAGACACCAAAGACACATCGCTCAAATTACTGCAGTAATGTCCCCAGTAATGTGCAGATCGCTCCTGGTAATTACCTGCTAAAACAACCCCCCACCCGCCTTAGCATTACGAATCTGAAGTAGCCAAATACGTCTGACAAACAGCTCAGATTGACTAATCCTAACAAATCGTAGAAAGAAAGAGGCATCATGGTTAATGGTTGAAGGCGGCTCATTACCTGTGACAGAGACTTCCTGAGAGAGTTGATCTGGGCGGACTGGTCTGACTGCTCCTGGTCAGACAGAATCTGTTTGATCTTCTCTTTTTCTATGGCCACTGTGTTGAAGGCAGATTTCAGCAGAGAGTGGACTGCACCGAGAAAGGACAAAAGAAAATGAGTATCGATTACACTGTACAGTTACGTTGTCTTGTCCGTTGCTTTGTCACAATCCTCAAAGGAAAAACATGATCCTCAAAACACTACGTGGGACTCACATCTATTCATTTTCTTTAGAAAACTGTTTCGATTTATAAATTCTGTGCTTCCTTATGTCTGTATTGTGTTTTAGTTTTCTAAATTCTTTTAATTTGTCAGTAAAAGCAGTATCTTGAAAAGCTTTCTATAAGTACAATGATCATAACCAATAGAAACAGTGGGTTAAACTACTGTATACAAAAACGATCCAGGTTTAACAAACCAGAATAATCCTTTAAGATTTACTGGACACTGGGACAAATTTTGCCTAATAATCCCTGGTGCTGCAGCCATGCATGCTGCCTGCCTACCTTTCTGGGCGATGGTGCAGAATTCCTCCTGAAGTTTAATGTAGTCACTGGCACACTCTACACTTTCTGTCAGCCGGGAGACAGGGGGCTGAAAGTCCACCAGCTCGGCACACAGGTTGGGGTTGGATGAGTGGAGGCGGATGGGGGACATGCTGGCAGACAGAGGGACCTGGAGAGACACCACAGAGGGGCACTGTCAATCAGCTGAGAGGCACAATGATGTGTTGTGTGTCTGAAAGCCAGAACCAACCGTGGGGAGCAAGAACCTTGGTACGATAAGACATGGTTAACTCTGAATGTACGGTATAATTATTCAGTTTAAGTATCTGACATGTCACACCAACATGTCACACTGAGGAGCAGTAACCAAACCAAAATAAATGCATCGTCATAAGGTAAAATTTATGAAGATCTGCAGTCATCAAGGTCATTAGATATCAAGAAATAGTAAATCAAAGGGACCTGGACATGCTGCATTACTCTGTACAGCTGTCTTTGACTTGCTACATGTAGAAATATCTGAGGTATGATTCCGTTCTTTTACCATGGGGCTTGGTTAAAAAAGGCAACAGCACATGTAGTCTTTCCAGGTAGCACGGATTAATATTTTAGGCAAAATAAGGAATAATGAGCAAGGATGGAAAAATCATTACTCAGGCCATGACACACCACGCTGTCAGTTGCAGTGCAGACTGGTTTAAGAACGAAAAAGAAGACAGAAAAAGCACAAACAATGTTGTCTATGTTGTGTGTATGTGCTGTAACAACCTCTCTTTCCATTACATGGAAAACATATAGATATATAAATCCAACAAAGAAATCAAGTGAAATATCATACATTGTTATATATCTTTCCTTTTAATATTTGCACCTGTTGTGTCATTAAATACTACATTAAACACATGGTAAAAAACTTATTTAGCTTGTTGTCTTAATTAACTAAATTAACAGTTTCTCTTTAACTGTGACCTGAACTACAGCATTATGGAAGCCCCAGTAATTTCCTAATTAGAGACTGCATATCTGAGTGTGTGTAAGAGTGACTGCAAGTTTGTGTGTCTCTATGTAGCAGAGCAAAAGTCAGAAAAGAAATACCTGAAGCTGGAATTTTGCATCTTTGCCGACACTTTTTGTTCTCCATCTTCTGTTCAAGCGCTTTTCTTTCTTTGACAATTCAACACAATTGGTCTTTGTGGCACAAATGGATCAAAATATGTAAAATGTGGTTAATAGGACAAACACATAGCAAAAGTTAACACACACACACTGACTGCAATGAAATGGCAATCATTCTCACAAATGAGTCGCAAACAAAATATTGAGACAAATGAGAGGTGTGGTGTTAAAAAAAAAAGCATTTCAGCCAAAAATTATAGTCCAAAAAATTTAAATCAGTTAGAGAAGTTGGCAGGTGTTCTGTAAATGCAGCTGAATCCTGTCTGTCTAGACAGGTAATGAAGGTGACTGCAATAAAGGATCCTGAACACTTTCACACACACAAAACCAACTAAATTGCTTCCCCTGCTTGCACGTGTGTGTGTGTTTCTGTATGTGTGTGCATGTCTGTGTGTGTGTGTGTGTGTGTGTGTGTGTGTGTATCCTTTTCACCTGCATATCTGTGAAGTTGGGTGCTGACTGTGTCCTTTGCAGAATCTCCAGACTCTGCAATAACCGGCTCAGCTCAGTCAGGTTGGACTGGCATCGTGCGAGCTCTGAAAATGAAATTCACACCCACGCGTGCGCACAAACACATTCAGTGTTGTGTGTCATGAAATGGTCATCAATCCTCCTCTCAGGGTTCAGAAGACTTATCGTACAGCCAGAGATATGATTTAATCTACTTCTCCCTAAAATCAGATTTAATCCCAGCATGATGACGAAAATTGCACTTACCCTCGGCGCACTTGTCCATCTCCTCTGATTCCTGCAGCCAAGCAACCACCTTGCTCTGGCCGTTACTGTAGGAGGCAGGCAGGCTGCTGTTGCTGCCGCTACTGGGGGCCACCGGCTGCCATGGCAAGCTGCTGGGCTTGGCCTGCTGTAGGATGAGATTTGGTTTCTTTGTCATATCAGAGTTTACTGTACTCCGTTCAACTGGTTTTGATCATACTGTAGTTATTCAAGTGGCACTGACATTGTGAAGAAATTAATATTCTGGATTAGGGCTACAACAATGAAATATGTCCATTATTAATTCATCTATACATGGTTTTTGATTAATTGAGAAATTGTTTTGTCTACAAAACTGGTTGTAGACAGAAAAGGATCCGAGGTAAAAAGGAGAGCTGGCAGTTTGGACAAACTTTAGTACTCAGTAGTGTAAAACATGATAGCTACTGTCATTTCCCTTAAAAAGGGGGTGTGGAGGTTAGAAAAGTTTGAAAACCTCCGAAACTAATGAAAAAATATCCATCGCAATCCCACCCAAGTTGATGTCTTTGGATTTCTTGTTGTGTCAGATTAATGTTGCATAAAAGAGAAAAAGAACGAGTCATCCCTTTAAGGAGCTGGAAGCAGCAAATATTTGGTTTTGTTAATTTTTTCTTTTTCTTTTTAAAATTAAAATTGTTGCAATTTATTTTTCTATTAACTGACTAATCAGGACTAATGTGGATACAAAGACTTCACTAGTATTTAAATGGATCACTTATACCATACCCATACTGTATGGATGGTGTCCTTGACGAAGGTACTTGACCCACATGCAGCAGCTGCAGTGAAACTGAATTTTAAATTAAAGCAGGTTGAATAAAATCATGAGAGACGTTGCATTATCTGCTTTTAGGAGCATGTACAGTACAAACTGCAGCCATGCCGGAGCTTGCTTAGTATTTGCAAGAGACCTTGATAGTGCTCCTTCCAAAACTAAGTCTTAAAGCTAAGATGTAGCAGTTAATTCTGACTATAGGACTAAGGTATCTCATTTTAAAGCTGTTCTTCTGGGAGAGCTCATCAGGCTCCAGCCAGCTGCTCTGAATCCAGATCCTACTGATCACCTCTAATGGCCTGCATGAGGCACTGAGCCGAACTCCCAGGAGAACCCGCACTCGCTGCATCCTGACATTCACACACAGTTCAGACACGTCAACGAGGACCAGGGGTTCACACTAAACTAAAAATGATCTGGACAAACAACCCTTTTCGTTATCCTAATGATCTGTATGCAATTACTGGCCCAATCAGCATTTCTGCATTGAACAGATATCTGTCTGAACATTCACAGCCATTAGTCTAGCAATTAGACATAATACAGGGACACATCAGGGCCATGATTACAACATCAATGGGGAGCTTAGAGCACATTTAGTACAACATGGAAATTGAAAGAAAAACATTACACAAAGTGAAAGGTGTAAAGTTATCAGGTGACAGAGGCAGACACATAGTTTTGTTTTTACTTTGAATGTGAATTTTACTTCACCCACTATTTCCCATAAAAACTTAACA